TTTTTTTTTTTTTTGTGGTGCCAGGGATCAAACTCAGGCCCTTGCACTTGCCAGGCAAGCACTTATTCCACTGAGCTACCTCCCCGGCCCCAACCCATGTTTAATGTTTGCCTCCTCATTGGTGAAAAAGATTAATATTAGCACTTGCATTTAGGGTTGTGAGAAATCAAGTGATCTATTTCTAAAAATTTGAAGTTTTACTATCAGAATTTCATGCTAAAATAAGAAACCTGAAAGCAAAAGGAAAATCTTGTGGGGTGGTCAGGGAGTATCTTAATACTTGAGGTAGCGTTCTCATTATAAACATTGTTGTTGTGGTTGATACATTGTGTCAACTTGAGAAGGGTGTAAGCTTAAGCGGTTCAACAGGGATCACCATCCTCACTTTCTAAACTTTTAGCATCTGTGCAGGACAGAGATGGCTTGGGTGCTATCCCTGCTCTAAGAGCCCTAAGACTGAAGGAAGAGGCTCGTTTTTTTTCCTTTATTCTTGCTTTTGCTGTCTTCTGCCACCATTAGCTATTGTCCCTATACCACACCACCCTGCCTTAGAAGCAGCTGATTAAATCTCCACAAGCTGAGCTAAGTAAACCTTTCCTTCCTTAACTTTGGGTGTTGGGTATTTTATTTCAGCAAGAGAAAAGTAACACAGACATGTCATCATGCAAATGAGCAACGGTGGGGTGGGGGCGAGACCCAGTGAGGGAGGTCAGTTATGGGAGTAAAGACCCTAGGTGCCCTGTGGAAGTAAACTGCAGCACAGCACAGGACAGGAAGGGACACTAACTTGACCCTGCCAGGAACCCAAGGACACTTCTGTGCTACATGCCATTTGACAGAGCCTTGCTAAATTGCCCAGGAGGGACCTTCAATTTGCAATCCTTCCTAAGGGCTCACATTTAGTCTGGGATGCACCACTGAATCCAGCTAAGGAATTTTTTTGAATACAGGGTCCCTGTGTGGTCAGGCCAGCCTTTGCCCCAATTCTCGTCTCAGCCTCTCAAATGGTGGAATACAGCCAGCGCCACCCAGGACAGCAATGTTGCTATTTCTATCATTGTTTTCTGCAGGTTATTTGGTTACCTTTGCAACAACTAGCACTATAAAAATGACAAGATTAACGGAAGGCCCACTTGTTTCAACTTAGTATTTATTCCTTTACTCAAACCTCTACAGTCAAAAAATGGGCCCTTTGCTCATTTTGATAAAAGCTCAGGCCCTGAAGGTTTTATCTGTTAACAAATGCTTTCTGAACATCAACTGACCTTTTTGAAGCCCCGAAAGAAAAATAAGTACTGGGAAAGTACCAATTATATTTGCAGCCAGATCTTTCTTCTTTGTGTATTTGGTACAGGGTTTCACTACACAGCTCTGACTCGGTAGTGATCCTCCTGTTTTCAGGCTCCTCAGTGCTGGGATTAGTGCGCCACCACGCCATCTTGGTGGCCAGCCTGTGCTTGCCTACGCAGGTGCTTAGACAGTTATCTCACTGCCCAACCCTTTACTTTTTAAGTCAGCAAACCCAGAATTTGGCACAGCAGTCCGAACCAGGATGAGAACATTAGAAGATTAAAACCATGAACTTACAGTGACATCAACTGACCTCAGGGCCAATACTTTCCCCCTACATAGCTATAGGGTTCAAAGTATCCTCAGGTATTGACTGAATGGCCACTTTATGAGTTTCCCACACTAGCATTTATTACATTTACAAACATTAAATTTACCCAATATTCATTCAATATCCATGAACTTTAAGTCTAAAACATCACTGCTGACTACTGTGCATCAAACACAATTTCATGGAGTCAAATCAGGAGTTTGGCCACTTTCAGAAGAATCAGTTGTACAAGTGGGAATTCTGAATTTGAGAAAAGCTCTAACCTGTTCTATGTATAATCCTAACACAAGGTTATCTGATTTTAAGTTTGTATTTGCTAAACTTCAAAAAACCTAGCTACTTCAAACCAGCAAGAGTATTGAAGTACCCCAATAAAGCTGCAGGTTTCATTACATGGACCACACAGATTTACAGGGCTAGTTTTAGCATTTCTCTTTTAAAGAATTTATTTTACACCTATTATACCACACAGCATGTTTCAAACACTGACATATAACCCCCTAATAAGATAAAGCAAAGACAAGAAAGCTTATCTTATTAGAAGCAAAGATACACCATTACTTATAGTCTTCAAACATTATTGCACTTTTAACTTCCATTTGACAAAACATTCATAAATCAGTAGACTACTTAACAAATAACACCTTTAAGCACATGAACTGTCCTAAATTGTTTATTGGGTTATCAATTTTACAAACATCACTTATATAATTAGCGGTAACGGTGGAGCTGGAGAGTATTGCGCCTTCTCCAAGCTGCACGGCGAGAACCACCAATAGTGTGGTGGAACTTGTGGCCCTTTCCAAGGCCACGACTCTTGCGGCCTGCAGATGTCAGCCCACGCATCTCCCTGTGCTTGTGGACTGGCTTGGTGATCCATTGGGTGTCAGGATTTCTTCTAATGGCTTTGTGGAATGGATCAATAAGGATAACCTCAAAGAATTTGTATGTGGAATCTTCACCAACCCAGTAAGAATTCAGAACTCTTAGAGCCCCACAGTGGCGTCCAGCTCGCTCCTAAAACAGGAAAAAAGCCCAAAGTCAGCCTCAAGCATAGTTTACAGTAGCAAATTAGAATCTTAACCCCGGGTCATCACTGAGACCTAGGCTTTTCTCTTAACTCATGCAATTATGCAAGGAACTTCCTCCCCCCACCTCCAGGGACTGAGTTCATGGACACCTGTGTGCATGCTGGAAATCACTGCACCACCTCACTACACCTGCCACTTATCTTCTAATGCAATGGACGTCAGCACAATTTTCAAGTTCTAGTATGTATTTAAAATTCTGCAGGCCAGATGCATCTGGTCTGTTTCACACACTGCCTCATTTTTTTTTTTTTTTTTTTTGCGGAACCAGGGATTGAACTCAGGCCCTTGCACTTGCCAGGGAAGGGGCTTATTCCACAGGGCCATCTCCCCGGGTCCCTCTTTGAAAAACAAACTTTCACTTTGGGGAGTTAGGCTTTGGTTTGCTAACTAACCCATATGAGAGAGCACAGCTTTAGGAATCCAGAGGATAATCTGTAACCGACCACTTAAGATTAATAACATAAGCAAATGCAGAGAATCTAGAAGTGTGCTGATATGTTACTGCCCTTCAAAGCTTGAGTTTCACAAATTCACTAATCATAAAATACTCAGTACATATATCAGTAACAAAGACTTAACGGTTTTTGACAGCAACTATCTTTTACTAAGATTATACTTAAACCCGTATTATAGATTGCAAAGTCACCAGAGAAAAGTTGCTTAATCCTTTAAACTTATTACCCCCAGTAAGTAATCAAAACAACTACTACTCGAAATTACCTCGGCAACAGACTGAAGGCTTCGCGCGAACTTCAGCTGGTTAACGCCATGATGGACAGGCTTGCCGTAAGTTGCTCCCTTAGGAACTGGACGTTTGCGGCCACCGCGGCGCACACGAATCCTGTATATGACATACCCTATGCACACAATAACACACTGTGAGACTTGCTTTCGAAAAATCCAGGGCTTACAAAGGGAGGTAGACCACTCTGCACACTTGTAATCTACACACTTGCCACTCCAGAGGACAGAACACACCCCCAGTAGTTTCAGCGCATGCACTGCTGTTAGCACTGTCCCGCCAAAGCATGGTGGGGAGGAAGCATGCACAGGCACTGGTTTCTATCATTTCTTGACAAATATACAGTAACTGAACTCGAAATTCCACGCAGACATCACGCACCTTGCTTGGCCTTGTATCCCAGTCTGCGAGCTTTGTCTGGCCGGGTGGGGCGAGGGGCTCTGTGGAGCGCCGAGAGCTGGCGGTACTGCCAGCAGCGGGCCCGCAGCAGAAAGCGCATCACGTCGGACTGCTTTTTCCTCCATAGCTCCTGGATGTACTTGTACGCACCCATCTTGGCTTACCTTTGAGACAAAGCCGCGCGTGAGAAACCAGCCCCGGCTCGAAGTACAAAGGACTACTCGTCCGTCCATCTTAGCGCCTGCCTACCCGAGAAAGACGCCGGGGACGAAAATGGCTCTGCGGAGCTAGTGCAGGGGTCGGGGCTCCAACCCCCACCTCCACCTCCGCGCCCGCCAACAGCCACCCAGCACCGAGAGGCGCTAGGCTTGTTTGCGGCCAGAAGGAGCAGAGCTAGATCTGAGCTCTAGGGACAGTGGCTACGGCCGGCGGCTCGTCCCCAAGGGCCCAGCTCGCAAAGCGATGTCGCCGCGCCATAGCAAAGAATGGTTTTCCTGTCACCAACGAGGGTGCCCGCCCTAGGAAAACTGACCTACCCCACCCAACGAGCCAGCCTCGCTTTTGGCTGCCCGAGGCCTAGCCTCCCATCCTTTCGCCCCGCGCCTCTTTCACGCTCTGCGGCCCAGCTAGAATCGGAGCCGCCATCACGTCTTCCCTCCAGCCCGCCCCCGGGGACGCCTCTTCACATCCGCGCGGCTCCGAATCTCGACTGTACGCTGGCCGCACAGGAGGCAGGAGGAGCTCCGAAGACGCAAGGTCTTAAAGTTCGGATGGCTGACACAGAGAGCGATTACCGGCGGATGGAAGAACGAAGATCTGAGACACAGCCTACCTGATGGCTGCCGCCAGACGAAAAGGAAGAAGCCTTTCTCCCACAATCCCTTTTGGGCTCCTCCCCCACTCCTGCGAGCTGTTTTCCGGTGGAACGCGGCAACCGCCCAGCGCCTCATGGGATATGTAGTTCCGACCTCCAGTCCGGTGGGCGGAGTTTGACCGGGATTGGTCGAAGTCCTTTATTTCCCTCCCCCTACTCTTCTGGCTCCGCCCCCTGAGAGGCGGGGCGACCAGTAGGTGAGAGGAGCGCAGTCCACGGTGAGCTAGCGGCCTTCTCCAGCTGACTGGAGCTAGCAGGCTGGGGCGGGACTCTGAACGCGGTGGCTGCGGACCGCGGGGGAGCGGCGCTGGGTGCGCGCGGGCATCTGCGGGCTCGGCTGGAGCGCACAGGTTCGTCCCCTCCTCACGTGGAAGTCGCCGCGGGGGCCCCTGCGGCGCTGGCCGCCCCCCGCCTCAGGACTGTCCTGAGCCGCGCGAGGCTTTCGGCGCGCGTGGGCGCCGCTCGCGCGCCTCCAGCGAGCCCGCTCCGGGGGGTGGGCGCCGGCGGATCTCCCTGGCCCTGCCGCCCTGCGTGTGCGTGCCACCCCAGATTTGCTAACCTCGGACCGTCTTTTGTTTGTTTTTGTTGTTTTGAAAAGCAGAAGTATTTTATTTGCCAGGACCTTGTTAGGCAAGTGCTTTGGGAAGAATTGCTGGCGTTTTGCGTTGCGTTCGTTACAGAGGAACAGTTCCGGGGCTTTTTCTCTTTCTTTTTCTTTTTTTTCTTTTTTTTGTATTTCCAGAATATGTTTAATACAATTGTGTGGTTTTGATTCCTGTCCTAATTCTATTTTCATATGTGCCCAAAGAGAATCGTATTTACCTTGTAAATCAATTAGTGGGTTTGTCCTTCCTTCATATTTTCCTTAAAAAGAGACATACCACGGCATGGCCATCCTAACAGTTCCCCAGACCCCCGGCTTATTCACCCGCCGGACAAGTATCCGACGGGGTAACTTGCCGGTGCGTGCCAGGCGCCGGCCTCGTTGGGGATGCTGCAGCGAGCGCAGGTGTCGTGTCTGTGGTACAGCTCTGGGCAGGCGTGCAGCGGAGTGGGGGGCGGGGTGCTGGGAAGTGACCGCGGCGAGCACAGCCCTGGCACTGCGGCTGTGCCCTGCTCCTCCTGGAGGGGCCGCCCGCGGTGCGGGATGCGCTCTGGGGGTTTTGCCAGGAACCAGTTCACGGCCTCACCTGTTTCTCCTCCAGCACACCTGGTGGCCAGGTCGCAAGTGTTCATGGCAGGTCCAGCGTGCGTTTCCCCAGTGGTACCGTTTGGAAAAGACCTCCAGGCTGAGCCTGGGCTAGAGTGCGTTTTAGCCGGTTTGGGTCCTCTGGCCAACCCCAGCACCAAACAACCAGTGAGCCTCTGAGATTTGATCTAGAGCCGGCCCAGGTGGCACACATCTGTAATCCAAATTGAGAGACTAAAGCATTGCAAGTTTGAGACCCACCTGGGCTTACAAGGTGAGCTCAAGGCCAGCCCAAACTGCAGGCCACACTGTTTTTGTTTTTTTTTTGTGGCAGGCACAACCCACCCTGGACAGGGGGCTGGTGCAGCATGTAGTGGTGGTGGTGGTGGGTATCAAACAGAGGTCCCTGTGCTGCCTAAACTTGCCTAAGCAGGGGGCTGGTGAGATGGCTCAGTGGTCTAAAGCACCTACTTAGAACAAGCTTAGCAAAGCTCAGGGACTGCGGTTCAATCCCCCAACACCACATGCCAGCCAGCCCCGCCCCCTGGTGGGCTGAGCTGGCCACACACACACACAAATAAATAAAAATTTAAAAAAATTTTATATAAACTTGCCTAAGCAGTTTAATCTTGCCTAATCTCGCCAGCCCATGGTGTTTTTTGTTTTGTTTGTTTGTTTGAAGGGTGATGAGTGGATTTAGGCAAAAGGAAAAGTAACCAGGCTAAAGTATGCTAGGACTCAAAAGGAACCACTGTATCAACTCTGTGGGAAGCAGGACCGGTTGTGAGGTGAAGGTTTTTATATGGAGTTTAGAATTCAAACTGCCTAAGACAGGCAATCAGTGGAAGATTTTTAAACATACGGCTTACATTTTAAAAGGGTAACCTGGGTTGCTGCTTTGAGGCTAAAAAAAAAAAAAGAGAGAGAGAGAAAAGGTGGAGATGGGGAGTAGGTTAAAATGGAGGTGTCTCTGGGACTGTGTTCCTTCTGAACATCCCAGGGACATTTGTTGGCTCCTGCCGGGGTTCCCATACTTCCCAACCACTTCCTTCACAGTCTGAACACAAAGACAGTAGTGACCATGTTGCCCAGTCCACCCCATGACCCTAGGGTAGTGTACACATGCTACATGCCAGCTGGGGAAATAGCTCAGCGCACAGTGCCTGCCTGGCCAGCACTTGATCCTGAGTTTGAGTCCCATCTCCTGTCCCTCCTGTTACACATGCCAAATTTCTTTCTTTCTTTCTTTTCTTTTTTTTTTTTTAAAGGAACTGGGGATTGAACTCAGGCCCTTATGCTTGCCAGGCAAGTACTTATTCTACTGAGCCATCTCCTGGGCCCCCATGAGCCATCTCCCTGGCCCCCCAAATTTCTTTATGATGGAAATAAATTACTAATAGATTTTGAGGATTAGGAAAGGGACATCTTTGGAAGACCAAACCAGATGAGAGAAGATGGTGCCCTAGGTCACTTAAGTAGTGAGGAAGATGGGAATCAGTGCTACCCTGAATGTATCTCAGAGGTACAGAATAGGACTTACTGAGGGATCAGGATGTGGGGGTTTCAGAGAATGAATTTAGGGTGACTATTTGGATGGATTACATGGAAAAATGATGTGGGAAATATGAATAATCACTGTTAATGTATCAGTTGGTTTTGCAGTTTTGTTTTTCAACTTGCAGTTTCTCTGCAGCTTAGCAGGATTTCTATTTGTATTTCCATTTGATTTTGAGATTCCTGAAAACAAGGGTCATTTCTGGCTTTGCCCTTTAGTTTTTCCTTAATGTTTAGAGTTGTGGTAGGCCCTCACTATTAAATAAAAGAATGGTAAGCTGAAATGTGTTTATTATGTGTTACTGTTTGAAGCACCTGCAAAACCCTTTGAATGTGTTTATGAATATAAAAAATTTACATGTGAATGAGTGAAAGTATTACCTGCCATAATGTTTATGTAAGTAAATACGCAGTGCAGAAATTTTACTCACCTGATGCTGTACTTCCAGAGATTTATAACATCTCTCCTGTGAGGTTAACAGTGTTTCAATATTATTATGTTTTTGTTTTTGAGGCAGGGTTTTGCTATGCAGTTCAGGCTGACCTTGAGCTCACTTTGTAGCCCAACCTGGTCTTGAATCTTAGGGATCCTTCTGCCTCAGCCTCCCGAGTGCTGGCATTACAGGCATGCACCACCACACCCAGCTCTGATGCTAACATGTATTTGCTGTTTTTTTGGAACTGGGAGTCAATCTCGGGACTTTCAGCTTGCTAGGCAGGTACCATACTGCTGAGCTATATCCCCTGCCCCCCAGCTCCGATGACTTCAGAAAAATGTTGATAAAGTGTAGCATTTTCTGTGGGACTGGATCAATGAATATGTTTATTTTCTAGCAATATTATTGATTATCCTATGTAGCAAAGCAGTTTCAGATAGAATTAGATTTTGTCTATTATTTCTGTTTATATTAGATGAAGTTTAATAGGTCACAAATTAAATTTTATTGTCTAGCAATCTCTTACTTAGAACTGTGACAGGAAATTATAAGTACTGCATTGTATGTTAACCTCAGTGTTGATACATATTCTGGATAAGTAGTTTATCCTCTCTTGACATGGGAGGGTTTTTTTTGTTGGTGTTGTTTTGGTTTTGGTTTTTTGAGATTGAGACTCACTAGGTGATCCAGACTAGCCTGGAACTCACAATTATCCTCCTGTCTCAGCCTGCAGAGTGGTGGCATTACCGATGTCAGTACCACCTCTCCAGCTGGCATGACAGTCATGAAAAGACCCTAAAGGTCATCCATTGAATCTGTGGCATTCTAAATTCTTGAAACTAGATTTAAGAGGCTTGAACATGCCTGGGATCTCTTCAGGTGATTCATTGCTTTTCCAGGGTACTGCAGGTGACCTTTTGGTACATTTGTTATATTTGTTATGTTGTAATGTTTACATTATTTATAATTATAATAATTTCAGTTTAGTACTATATTATGAAATATGCTTATAGAACTAGGCTTTTGGTACTGGGAACTGAAATCCAGACCTTTGCGCTGAACTACATCATTAGCCCTTTTTGCTGAGGTTTTATTTTTAAGGGGAGGTTTATTTTTTGTTTTTGGTGCTGAGGACCGAACCCAGTGCTTCCAGCTTGCTAGGCAAGCGTTCTACCACTGAGCCAAATCCCCAGCCCCCCAGCCCTTTTTGAATGTTTTTATTTTGAGACAAGGTTTCTACATTGTCCATGCTGAACTTGAACTCGTCTTCCTGACTCAAGTCTCCCAGAGCATTGAATTACAACTGTGTGCCACTATGCTCAGCTACTAGTTTTTATTTGTAAATCTGGGTGTATTTAAGCATAAGAAGCACTTATATTTTTATGTGAATTCTTGTCATGGGAATTATATAGGGAGAACACAGTATTTGTGTCTGTGTGTGTGTGTGTTTTGATGTTATTTATTTAGACTGAATTATCTTGGGTTGGCCAGATAGCTCAGCAGACTAAAGTGCCTGTTTAGGCTGAGCACAGTGGTGGGGGTGGGGGGCTCGATCTCCAGCCTGCTGTGCCAGCCCCATCCCAGGGTACACTGAAAAGGCAATTGAGACTGGGCATGGTGGCAGTTTAGACTGGGCATGGTGGTGCATACCTGTAATCCAAGCTCTTGGGAGGCTGAAAAGAGGAGAATCACTATGAGTCTGATCTACATAGTGAGACCCTGTAGACTGTACTAAATACATTTTTTTAAAAGAAATGAATTCTCTTTACTTCCATGTAGAGTAATTTACATATTTTGAGTTGAAAACCCCCACATAGCCGCACTCACTTGAAGAGTAAATTTTTCCTGGGAAAATTATGTCCTGTAAATAGTTTAGAGGTGTCACCAGGTATGGTGGCATGTTCCTATAGTCCCAGCTGCTTGGAAGGCTGAGGCAGGAGGATCATTTTAAGTCTAAGAGTTGTATATCAGCCTGGGCAGCAAAAGGAGAGCATCTTAAAAAAGTTTAGAATGATCATTGCCTTTCTTTCTGCTGGCCTTTGAAATGCTAATAATAATGGAACAGTACAGATTTTTAGACCATAGTTTTCTTTCTTTCTTTTTTTTTTTTTTTTTTTTTTGCTGAAAGCTTTCACTATTTATTTATTTATGGAACTGGGGTTTGAACTCAGGCCCTTGTGATTGCCAGGCAAGCACTTATTCTACTGAGCCATCTCCTCAGCCCTTAGACATAGTTTTTTATGCTATACGTTATGCCATAACACTTTAAAAATAAAAAATAGTTTTAAGGAATTCATACTTTTTAATTGATGTTAGCAGGTCGCTAGTCAAATATTTATTGAGGTTTCTTATCCTGTTCCTTCTTTCTTTCCTAAATAAAAATGTAAATTTCTTAGCCAGTGTGTTTTGTTTTGGTGGATGTGATTTGTTTTGAGTTGGAGTCTCACTGTGTTGCTCAGGCTGGCTGTGAACTCTTGGGCTCAAGTGATCCTCCAATCTCAGTCTCCCTAGTAGCTGAGGCTCAGCTGTGCACAATCATGCCTGGTTATTAGATGGTGTTTCGAGCTACCTGTACTCAGTTGCCTTTATTGTTTACCCTTGGCGAAATCTTCTGCTAGTATTGACGTGAACTCCTCAGTTTATTTGTATATACCTGGCCAGGGAGATAGCTCAGCAGTCTAATCACCTTCCTGGCAAACTCAAGGACCCCAGGTCGATCCCTGGTACATGTGATGCCAGCCATGTACCGAGCCAGCCACTGAAACTGGATGTGGTTGCACACACCTGTAATGCCAGTGCAGGGGAGGCTGAGATGGGGATCACTATGAACCCGAGCTATGTAGTGAGACCCTGTACCAAATAAATAAATAAATAAATAAGTGATTTTTTAAAAATTGTATATACTTACACACAAATACAAGATAATAATATTCTTTTTATGTATTTATTACAGGGTCTACAGGGTCTCACTACACAGATCTGACTTGTAGTGATCCTCCTGTTTTCAGCCTCCCAAGCCCAGGGATTACAGGCACGCGCCATCACACCCTATCTTAATCGCATCTCAGTGTGCCCCAGGGGCAGGGCCGGCAGGGCAGGCCAGGGATTGAACCCTGCGTTTGCCTAAACAGGCATTTTAATCCACTGAACTATCTGGAGTAATACATTCTTGACAAATTTTATCTGCTAATCCTAGCATCAATAAACCATCAGAGTACAACAAAGTGTACCTTTAACAGATACTTATTTTATTTTATTTTTTATGTATTTGGTACAGGGTCTCACAACACAGCTTAGACTTGTAGTGATCCCCCTATTCTCAGCCTCCCCAGGGCTGGAATTACAGGAGTGTGCCACCAAGCATGCCCAGGGGTGGGGCTTGTGTGGCATGTGGTGCTGGGGATTGAACCCCGGTCTCTGCACTTGCCTAAGCAGGCACTTAGTCTGTTGAGCTATCTTGCTGGCCCCAGATATTTATTTTAAGATGACTACCCAAGAGTCCTTGGAATATAGCATTTGATTTTTAATGTCTTGGCATTCTGTAGGCTCTGGTATTTCCACAGTTTGCTATTGTCCCTTGCACTTACACTTGCCTCCTTTTACAGAGGGCTTACTGCTATGAGTCACTGGGGTTTGTTGTTTGTTTTTTCTCTTTTTGGTAGCTGCTGCTTTCTTTTAGCTACAATGTAAGTATACCCTTTCAAGGAACTTGAGTTTTTAGAAGATTGGTATAATGTGATAAAAGGGCATTTATTTATACCCATTTGAACAGGAAGGAGAGAAGAAGAGTAAAGACTGGTATTTAGAAATTCTGTGGGAATGGACATTTTCAGAGAAAGAGAAATAACAAACATTTTAGAGTTCAACAGCACCTTTTTCTGATAGAATTGTCTTCACTGCCATTATTTTTCCCATCTGCTAGTAGATTGATTTCTCCTTCCAACTCTTCTTAGATGCCAGGGTGGTAGCTTCCTTTTAATTTATTTTTCAGATGGGATCTTGCTTTGTAGGGTAGGCTGGCCTATACTACAAATTTACTATGTAGCCCCACTGGCCTTGAGCTCACAGTAACCTTTCAGCCTCAGCTTCCTGAGTGCGGAGTTTACAGGCCTGCACCACCACAGCTATTATTAAAAACCACTGAAAGAAAGACTCATTGGTATCATAATTGAACAAGAACTCACAACATGTAGAAGGAGAAAACACTTATTATAAATGAGGTGACATTAATCGTAAATTTAGGTGAAGATTGTGCATGTCAGTAATCCCAGTTACTAAGGGGGCTGAGGCAGGAGGATTGTGAATTTGAGGCCAGCCTGGGCAACTTAGCAAGATGGTGTCTCAAAGTAAAAAATAAGGGCTGTGGGGAGATAGCTCAGAGGCATAAGCCACCTACCTGGCAGGCACAAGGACCAGAGTTCCATCCCCTGCAATGCATGCTGTGCCACCCTAGATATCCTGGCCATGGTGCATGCCTGTAATCCCAACACTCAGGAGGTTGAGAAGACAGAAAGATCTCTGCAAGTTTGAGACCAGCCTGGAAACTACAGAAGTGAGCACAAGACCAGCCCAAACTGCATAGTGAGACTCTGTCTCAAATAAATAAATAAATAAATAAATAAATAAATAAATGTCTAGGGATATAGCTCAATATGGGGCTGCGAGTTTGATACACAGTATTGCTAGGAAATAAGAGCAAGGTGCATGACCTGCACCATAATCCCAGCACTCCAAGGCTGAGGTAGGAGGATCTCTGATTTTAAGGCCATCCTGAACTACACAGTGAGTTCAAAAAAGCAAAAAAACCCCAAAAAGACAACGAAAATGAACATACACACACACACACACACACACACACACACAACCAAACACAAAATCATAAATTCAGAGATACCTGCATTTGTAGACACTCTTTAAAATAGGCTGTGGAGAAGCTAGGCATGGTGGTACATGCCTGTAATCCTAGCACTTGGAAGGCTGAGGCAGGAGGATTGTTGTGAGTTTCAGGTCAGAGTGGGGTACAAAGTGAGCTCAAGACTAGCTGTAGGAATAGACATAGATCACATGACATGAATAATCAGTGTTGCATAAAGTTCTGCCCTTACTGATAAAGGCAAATCATTTTTCTGTTGTAGTTCTAATGTTGAAAGTAGAAAAGGAAGTCACTTAAGAAAGCTAATGCTCAAGGAAGGAAGTGCTATTCTTGAGATCTAGACTATTTCCTGAGTTTGCTACCCAAGAAATAATGCTTGCATCACAGAGAAATGGTTATTTGCCTTGCAGGTGACATGCAGTGTTGTACTCTAAAAATGTTACTGTGCTACCAAAATATTAGCATTAACTTGTTCCATCACTTGATCAGTTGTGGGTGACTTGGGTCATAAAAAATTACAGACTTTGAGAAAACAAAGTGGCTTAAGGAAACTTCATGTGTTCATTTGTTTCAGAGTTGGTAAAACTAATACTTCTGGAAAATACACATGTATGCAAAGATACCTAATGTTCTGGTGCCAGTAGGACATGTTCTGTATTGGGTTTTTAGTTGTCACAGTCCAGTGAACACAGAAATATTCAGCATTTGCTTTGCTATAGTTGTTTCTGACTACAAGGAGTTGTGTAATCCTTTTTAGCCAGGGTTATGGCATGTCTATTTGTAGGTAAGAGAATTGGTGAGAAGCAGCTGGTGGGAGACAGCAGAAAGCAGTGGACAAATTTGAATTT